CTCCTCTCTTAACATGGGCTTCTAGGCTGTGAGAGTATTGACAGTGATCCACAGAAGCAGAAGAGGTGTCCTTTATAGGATTACCTCTGTCACAGTGATTTTCTACTCATTTCAGGAATAGGGAAGTCATCCTGTGAGGAAAAGAGGGCTCTAGAAAACGTTATGATTTTAAGGGATTGGGTAAGAAATTTATTTGGCTGTCAAACACAGATGAAAAGACTTTTAACCTTTTTGCCAAGCTCCCTATCTACCGGGTAACTGAAGTCCTCACAAAGTCAACATTTCTCCTACCAAATGCCTGCAACTCTGCCATGTGTATGTATACGTTTGTGTACAAAGTCAACATTTCTCATGCCAAATGCTGACAACTGTGCATGTGTTCACGTGTGTACGTATAGCATCTAAAAGCCACACACTCTGACTAATGTCAAGATTTACTTGGACAAGGAGTCTGGCTAACATCAGAAACACACAGTCACCTTCCAGCTAGCCCCACTTACCTCATTCATAATCTTGCTATTTCTACTTTCTATGCACAACATCCTGGTTTAAAAGGAATATCCTGGGTAACTAACCACTGAATTTCAGTTAGAAGGGACCTGAGAGAAGCCTAATTCCATTGTTCATCAGAAGATGTAAGTATGGCTCAGAACAGGAAGTGACTTGCCCATGGTCACACAACCAGATAATAGTAGAACTGCCTGCCACCTTATTTCCTCTCCTGCCAACTCCAAGGATATGAATGGTTCAGGATCAGAAGGTGTCAGCCATGCTCTGTGAGGGCTGAGGCTGGACTCTCTGGGGGACAGGCTGTCCCCTGTCTTGGTGTAACTGAATCCAAATGGGACAAACCATTACCTGTCCTCCCCACCCCTAATCAATTAAACTTACCCTGGGTACCATAATTCCTAGCTATGGCTCTGCCAATGAGACTCAGAGTGGCTAAAAACAGGAATTCTCTCTACGATATCCCTGACAAATGGTTATCTTTTCCTTGCCTGAAAACTTCCAGGGATGGAGAACTCCCTAGTCCGTGAGACAGCTCATCCTGCTTTTGGATGCCTCTAATTATTAGGAAGTTTTTCTCTCCTTCAAGCTGAAACCTGCCTTCCTACATCCTCCCTGCCCTGCTCCTATTTCTGTCCTCTGGAGCTCAAGGTCACACAGTGAGGAAGTAGTGGTGCTGAGACTGAAAGCCCAGTTGGATGACTTGTTTCTCCTCATCTGAGCCTCTCTCTTTCTTGTTAAGGGTTCTGTTTTTGGTCCTGGACTTTGAGGTTAAATTCAGTTCACACTTCAGCCTTTTCATCTTTCTTACCCTGGGTGGCCGTTCTTTTTTGAAGGGCCCAGCAAGGGCCTCCCAGAAGAATGGGACAAACACTTGCCCAGGTTTGCCTTTTAGCACAAAGGAACAGTGCACTATTTTAGGACCAAAGCATCCCTAACTCCTCTGCTGGCGTGGGAGATTATTTTTTTCTCTGGCACACATACAAATGATACTGTTTAAAAACAAACAAACAAACCATCAGAACCACGGAGGCATTGAGCTAAGAAGAAATTCTCATGTGAGAATTCTACGGCATTGTTAGCGTTTATCTTGGAGCCAACAGGACCCCTGGTATGTCCCCCCCTGCAGAAAAGAGCAAGAGTCTTGAAGAGGCAGAGTCTGGCTCAGGTAACCTTTCTGCTTCCCTTTCATTGATTGGGCGACAGAAGAAGCCCTCATTGGCTTAGATGCTTCAAACATCTCATACCAAACACGGGCAATGATGCACATGCTTCATCTAAGAGGCAAGCTCTGGCTAATGTCCAGATGTACCAAACAACCTCAGGATTGGCCAGGGAGTCTGGTTAATGACACACAGGGAGTCAACTCAAGTCTAGCCACATGGGTCATGTCCATAATGGAGGAGTGGTTGTGTCTGCTTTAGATGAAGAAGGCTCTGGGTTTAAACCCTTTGAGGTAAGACAGGTAGCGTGGGAGAGAGGAAGAACTACAGTTTGGGGACAGGGTCAAAGCCCTGGGTTCAAAGTTCACATTTGTTACTTACCAACTATGTGATCTTGGGGGAAATCATTTAACTTTTCCTTCTCTGTAAGATGAAGGAGGCAGCATGTGACAATAAGAAGATTACAGTTTGGGGGGGTCAAAGGGCTTGAGTTCAAAGCCCATGTCTATCACCATCTGTGTGATCCTCAGGGAAGTCATTTAACCTTCATGGGTCTCAGTTTCTTTCTCTGTAAAATGAGAGTCTGACTGATGTTTAAGGTTACTTCTAGTGCTGAGTTCATGACCTTCTACAATCCTCTGACCCATAGGAATCCTTCAGAACAAACAAACATTGTATTTGAAGAGGCAATCTCATATAGGGGAAAGAAAACTTGGAGACCATTTGGAGATTGAAAAAAACTGAGTTTCAATTCTCACTCTACTGCTTACTAGCTGTGATCTTCAGGAGGTCATTTCTCTGTACCTTAGTTTCCTCTTTTGTAAAAATGAATGGGTTGATGTTTCCTAAGATCTGGTCCTAGTGAAACATTCCATTGGTGATAGCCTATTTTTAAATGCTGCTGGCTTCCCCAACAGTGCTGGATTCCCTGTCCACAAATGTTAGAAGTCATAAATTTAGAACACAAAGAGGCCATCTAATCCAGCTCCTTCATTTTACAGATGAGGAAGCTGAGGGTCAGAGAGGTTAAAAATGACTTTCTTAAGGTCACACTAGTGACAGAAGCAGGATTTGAAGCTGGAGGCAAAGGTAATATGGGACTCTGACTCGAGCTGTAACATGCCACACTGACTTGTGACGAACGTCTAGGGGAAACAAGGTAACCTCAATATTAATGTAATGATGATAAAGTGGGAACACAAAGACAGATACAGGAAGCCTAACTAAGCCAGAAACTACAGCTTTTGGCACAGTGGAAGGAGAGTCAGCCCTGAAGTCAGGAGGACCTGAGTTCAAGTCTGGCCTCAGAGCAAACACTTGACACTTACTAGCTGTGTGACCCTGGGCAAGTCACTTAACCTCAATTGCCTAAAAAAAAAGTTTAGGAAGGCAGAAACTACAGCTTTTGGGGCTATTTTCTCTTATTTCTCCAACTTAATCCTATTCAATTAGCATTTCTTAAGCACTTACTAAGTGCAGGCAGCTAGGTCAGGGCCCAGGCCTGGAGCCTGGGGTCAGGAAGACTCTTCTTCCTGAGTTCAAATCTGGCCTCAGACACTTACTAGCTGTGTGACCCTGGGCAAGTCACTTATCCCTGTTTGCCTCAGTTTCCTCACCTGTAAAATGAGCTGGAGAAAGCAATGGCAAACCACTCCAGAACCTTTGCCAAGAAGACCCCAAAATGGGGTCATGAAAAGTTGGACATGACTGAAAACAAACAAATGACTGAACAATAATGACATACAGGACTTGATGCCTTCCCACCAGAGATAGAAAGTAGTCCCTGCCCTCAAGAAGCTTCCATTCTATGGGGGGGGGGATGATACAATGTTTACAAAGATAACTAGATAAGAATTTGAAAGGAGAGAAAGAGTTACCAACCACAAGTAGAATCAGAAGAGACTTCCCACAAGGAGCCCCCAAGCAAAGGTGGGGAGAGAACACATCTCAGGAATGAAAAACACCCTAGGTTCAGAATCATGGAAAGGGCAGGCTGAGTTTGGGTAACTGCAAGTGGGCCCATTTGGTTGAAATGTAGACTTCTGGAAAGGAAGGCATATGCCCTGAAAGGGAAACTGAGGCCAGATGTGTGAAGACCTTTAAATGCCAAGATTTTATCCTAGGTGATTGCCTATGACAGACTGCTGGGAAGTGCTGTGGTCATGTATCCACTTAACTAATATTATTTTATTCATCTTTTTTTTTTTTCAGTCACGTCTGACTCTTTGTGACCCCATTTGGGGTTTTCTTGGCAAAGCTCCTGGAGTGGTTTGCCATTTCCTTCTGAAGCTCATTTTATAGATGAGAAAACTGAGGCAAACAGGGTTAAGCGACTTGCCCAGGGTCACACAGCTAGTAAGTGTCTGAGGCCAGATTTGAACTCACAAAGATTATTTTGTTAGCCATGTCCAAAGGATGGGCAGAAGGAGGCTGCTGTCTTCTTCTGAGGATGACCTCACACTGATGCTGCCATTGGAGTATGTGTGAAGTGGTCCACATGGCAGAACTCTGTCTGCAAACTAGCAGAACAGGCCTGCACAAATGCAGGGGGAAAAAATCTTGATTCAGAGATTTTAAAACTGTAAAAGAAACTTTTAAAAATTGCAGATTTATTTGAACAAAAAGAATTAAAAGCAAACACCAAAAAAATTGAAATGAATAAAACAATATTTTTACTGGGTTAAAAAATCATTCAGAATTTAGAATCCTAGAATGTCAGAGTTGGGAGGGGCCTTAGAACAGGGAATGTCAGAGCTGGGAGGGGCCTTAAAGCAGACAATACTGGAGTTGATAGATGCCTTAAAACAGAAAATCTCAGGGTGTCAGAAAAAGAAGAGAGTTGAGAACACAGAAGATCAGAACTGAGAGGGATCTTAGAACATGGAATATCAGAGCTGAGAAGGACCTTCAGAAGTCAGAACTGGAAGTAGGTGCAATCCAACAAACTTTAGAATATACAAAGTCAGAGGAGTATGGGACATCAGAACAATGAATGTCAACATTAGAAAGGGTCTTAGATCATCTAATCTAATCCTCTCATTTTACAGAGAAGGAAACTGAGGTCTACAGAGGAGAGGTGACTTATCCCTGGTCACATAGCTGGTTGGGGTCTGAGTTCGAGCCACAACCAGTATTCACACCAGTACATTCCAATGAGTCCCAGTCCATCCCATCCTGTTGGACCTTGCACTGGTCCAAGCTGTTGGGACTCCACCTGAGTGCCCACTAAGTTCCCAGAGGGCAGCTCTGGCCCTCCGGCACTTCCTCCCTACCCCCAGCACTCCCTCTCACAGGCTCAGTGCATGGTGCCAGGCAGACAGACTCACGTACATCGCCGGGCGGATTCCTGGGCCAGCTCAAGCCGATAGATGGAGAGTCGGTTGACACCACCACATATGTTGATCTTCTCACCCTTGCACTCCATGTTGCATTCAGCCTGGCTTGCATTTGCCCCCTGGATCTTGTGGCCACAGAAGCACTCGGCACCAAACTCTAGCCCGGCATACAGGTAACCCCTAGGGAAGGGAACATGGGAGTACTCAGGTGGATAGACCAATAGCAGGGGCATCCATCACCCCACTGGGGAGACTCTGAGTCTTGGTGCCTCATTTGGGAAAGGAGTAACAATGGAGATTATGAAGTTTGCCATCTCCTTCTCTCTGGGGGCTCTTGGGCAACCCCTTGCTCCCATATAGTTCCATCCCTCATCTCCCATTGCCTGCCTCTACACTGTTCTTCAAGCGTGGTGCTAAATTTTTGCTGCTAGAATACCTGAATGAATGAAAAAGCATTTATTTAGTGTGTATTATGTACGAGGCCTTGGGCAACTGGAGACAGTGCCTGCTCTGAAGGAGAAAGGAGAAAATACTGGTGACCCTGGTAGCTAGGAAGCAGCTGTGATGAGCTTGTGGGCACCAGAGAAGGGCAGTTACAGGCTGCAGTGGGTCTAGCAGGGTGAAAGGCCTTGAGTTCATGTCAACTGATGATGGATTAAAGGAGCTGGGGGAGGGCAAGCTTGGAAAAGAGAAGGCTCAGGGGTTACATAAAAGCTATTTTCAAGGGTTTTAAGGACTGTTTTGTGGATGATGGGTTAGTCTTGTTCAGCTTGGCTGCCCAAAGACAGAGCAAACCAAACAAAAACAATTAAAACCAAAAGACAAAAAAAAATTGAAATGAATAAAAATATACTTTTACTGGTTAGAAGTAGGAGAGAAGAAAATTTAGGTTGAGTATGAGGAAAAAAATCTCTAATGATTAGAACTGTGCCAAAGTAGAACAGGCTTTCTTGAGAGAGGTGCTGGCTTCCCCTTTCCTGGAGGTCTTCAAGCAGAGACAGTCTGACTTGGTTAGACATGTTGCAGAGAGAACTCTTGTTTGGGGATGACTTGGTCTAGATGACCACAGAAGTCCCTTCCATCTCTAAACTCTGTGATTCTCTGATAGCAGATCCAGCACCAGTCCTGAAGTCAGAAGACCTGGGTTTGAATGTGGCCTCTGCCATTTACCATTGGTGGGATCATTCTTGGGTAAGTCATTTCCTCCTCTACAAAATGAAAGTATCAGATTAGGTGACTTCTAATGTGTCTTGGAGATCCCAATCCTCTGATCTCTCTAGAGCTCTTTAGTCCAAAGGAGATGTTGAAGGGAGGAGGCAATGACATGAGAATGATGAAAAGAGAGGGGTGATTAATCAGATTTGGAATACTGAGTCTCACAGTGGGGAGACAGACAAAAATGTGAACTAGCCTCAAGGAGCTTACATTCTATTGAAGTTCTTCCCTTCACAAAATGTTTTCCAGCATTCTCTCCTTGAGAAGGTTGCCTAGTTTAAAGGGTCTCTACTCTTGATAATAATTTTATTATATTACTATCATTATATATTACTATATATAGTATATATTACTATTATTATTGCTTTATTCTTTATGCAACACCTCAAGTTTGCAAAATGCTCTAGAAATATTATTTCAGGATATAAATACAATATAAAAGACATAAAAATCTTTCCAAAAACTCAGCATATATAAAAAATAAATTATTTATTTATCCTTACAAAAACTCTGGAAGGTAGATGCTATCATTAGCCCCATTTTACTGAAGAGGGAGCTGAGGCACAGAGAGATTAAGTGATTTGCCCAGAGTTACAGAGCCAGTTAAGTGTCTGAGACTGGATTTTAATTCAAGTCCAGCTGACTCCTGATCCAGAGCCCAGCGAAAGCTTGAGCAGAGAGCATAAACTAAGAGGAAGGCAAAGAGTGTCAGTTTTAAAGATGGCAAAACTGAGGCTCAAAGAGAAGACAAATTGGGCCAGGAAATCTTCCACCTCCCTCCCCACCTCCCTAAAGAAAAAACAAAGTTCATTTTATGGTGTGAATTATTTAAAGAGAGTACTGGAATCCACAAGAAAACTTTCCAATTTCCACTTTTCTTTGGGTGCTGTATATTTGGCCTGCGATGTGGGTCCTCTGTGATACCCCAAGGGCTAATTGTGTGATTCTGAGCAAGACCATTCCTTTCATCAGACCTGGAGTTAGGAAGTTAGGAAGACCTGATTTCAAATCCAGCCATAGACACTAACTGTGTGACCCTGGACAGGTCACTTAACCTTTGTCTGCCTCAGTTTGCTCTACTGTAAATGGGATAATAATATCACCTAGTTCACAGGGCTGTTGCAAGGATCAGAAGGGATATTTGTAAAGTGCTTAGCATAGTGCCTGGCACATAGTAGGTGCTTAATAAATGCTTGTTCCCTTTCTCTTCTCTGCAGCCTCAGTTTTCCCTTCTGTAAAGTCAGAGGGAGGGTAAATGAGTTGATCTCTTAGTTTTCTTTCAGCTCTAAATCCTAACATCTTATAAACCCATTAATTTGGTCCAAAACAACAGTCAATAATTCAGTCCAACCTTGTTATTTGGACGTCAGAGACCATCTGGTCCAGGTGTTCTTACTCATCTTTGTTCCCCTTTTGGTGATCGGACTGATGAAGCCTAAGGTCCCCTTCTCAGAAGCATATCTTTCAATGCAGGAAATAAACTACACAGAATTACAAAGGAAACCAATTATATTGAAATTAAGATGTATGTTTTTCCATATCCAGTTGGGTTCATGGACCATTTGAAATCTATCCATGGACCTTAGGTTAGGTCCTTGGTAGTCTGTCCCCCTCTCTTTTAAGACAGGTGGAAACAGCCCCAGGGCAAGGCAAGGACTTTCCCAGGATCACACAGTTACCCAATTAGAGATTCGGGCTCCTCAGACCCTCAAATCCAGTGCCCTTCCCACCACACAATTATCCTCTGGGTAGCATGCCAGCTGTTCTTGATGGCTTTTGGAAATGGCTGAGAGAAGAGCTAAATCTCCTCACCACCCTCTGTCCTCCACCATCATTTTCACTGGAATGGCATAGGGACTCCCTGCTTCCTACAACTTCTCCCCTGGGCTTCCTCACCAATGCTACCTGGAACCTGGTCCCACAGCGTGAGTCCTGAGCGGGTGATTTACTGGGCTGCAGCTGAAGGAAGCATCACTTTCCAAGAAAAAAGGCTTCACAGGTGTGATAGATCATAAGGCAAGAGGCAGCCCCATTACTTAGAGGCAGGAAGGACTGTGCCTTTGTTGGAGGTGAATTAGGAAATGATGGAGACCCTGTGGCTCTCCAGGGAGGGAAGCTGTGAACCTGGGCACCAGAGCTGGGGATTGACTGTCACTATGAGAGGAAGGAGCCATTCTGCCTGACCCCAAGGAGTTTGGCCTCAGTGGACAGAAGGAGGAAAGCTGCAGAGCTCAGAAGTGGGATGGACATAAAATGGAAAGATCATAAGACATTGAGTCAGAGGACCTGGGCTTGAATCCCACACTGTCTACTTACCACTTGCATGCTTGCCCTGGGTCTCAGTTTCCTTTTCTATAAAATAGGTGTGTGTGGGGGGACACTAGCTGGCTTCTGAGATCCTTTCCAGCTCTAAGTCTACACCCCTATGATCTGAATGGGCAATTTCAGGAGGCAGTGGGTCCCTCCCTTATGGAAGATGAATCTAGACTGGATGGCTACTCATCAGGGATTATAGAGAGGGGATTTTTATTCAGGTACAAATTGGACTGGGTAGGAAGGATGGCCAAGTGGGTAGAGCATTGGACTTGCAGTCAGGAATCTGCTTACTAGCTATGATTCTAAACAAATCACTTCATTTCTCTGGGCCTCAGTTTCCTCACCTGCAAAATGGGGATAATAATGGCACTGATCTCACTGGGTTATTGAGTAGCTTGAGGTCTCCTTATGGCATCCATAAAGGATACCAAGTGCTTTGGAAACCTTCCAACACTATGTAAATGTCCACTATTATTATAATTACTGAGGGACTGCATGACGTAGTAGATATTGAATTGGTCTCAGAAAGACCCAGGTTCAAGTCCTGCCTATGGCATACATTGACTGTGACCCTGGGCAAGTCATTAATTGCTGATGGGTCCAGACCTGTATCTCCCTATGGGAAAGGCCTTTCATCTTTGGACTACCCCCAATGGTAACTGGTAAGGAGGGAAGGTAGCAATCCTGCATAGATTTGGGGTGGGAACTGGGGGAGGCAAAGGCTTTACATAGTAGACCTTGTTTGACCCCAGAGACTTGGTCTGGGACTCTCAGGACTAGATCAGTGAAGTATCTAAGCAAATGGAAGCCATCAAGAGAGGGGTCATAGAATCCTAGAATCAGAGAACAGAGAATGCCAGAGTTGGGAGGGACCTTAGAACATAGGAGGTGAGAGCTGGGAAGGAGTTTAAAATACATAATTTCAGAGCTGGGAGGGGCCTTGGAAGAGGGAATGTCATAGTTGGGAGAGAATATAGCACAAGGGACCTTAGAACATTAGAACTGGACCAGATCATAGAACCAAGAATATCAGGAGGGAAAGATCTTGGAACACAGGGTGTAAGAGCTGATAAGGGCCTTAGCCCAGAGGTCATAGCATGTCAACATTAGGAGAGAGCCAGAGTGGTGCAGTGGAAAAAAAATAATTAAATCAGGGAACCAGGGTTAAAATCCTGTTACTCTATTATTCTATGTTTCTGGCTATTCTAAAATCCCAGTTATTCTATTTATTACCTATATGACCTTGGACAAAGCCATTTGACCTTAGTTTCTTCATCTGTCAAATGAGGACGTTGGACAAGACTCCTCTACAGGCCCTTTCAGCCCTTAGTTCAGGATCCTAGAACTTAGAATGTCAGAGAGAAATGAACGCTGTACCACTTTCTTAGTCGACACATAGGGAAATGCAGGATGAGAGAGGGAAACTGGTGAGAGCTAGGAGAACACAGGCCTGCTGCCTTGCGGTTCTGGGTGTGAGTCATCCTCTCTCTTTAGCCAGGGCAGAGCCTGGCCAGTTTGAAATGCTCCCCTTTTCCTCCACAGGCGGCTGGACCAGCTGGTCCCCAACTCCCTCCTGGTTGTATCCTTTGATCTAAGGAGCAGCCGGGGCTGTCTCCTCCAGCTCCTCCTTCAGAGCTCCTGCATTTAGAATTCTCCCTCTGACCCACCATCTTTTACATGTCCAGGGCTGCTGTCTTGAAAGACAATTCTTTCCCCTCAGTAAACTATTTTCAATCATGAACATCATTTTCATTTTGGATGAGAAAGCTGTGTCTAGCCAGGTGTCTGCCTCTCATGGGAAGAAATCCTTAAACACTCATGCACACAGATACTCACATGCCTCCACATGTGCTCAAGGGCCCCTACAGCCGCACACTAACAGTTTCAAACACACATTCTTTCTTTTTCACCTACCTCCAGGGCTGTCTGTTGTAAGGATCAAATGAATGAATACTTGTATTCATTAATTAGCACATTGCCCGGTACATAGTAGGTACTTAATAAATGCTTGTTCCCTTCCTTTCCTTTACATACATGCACTCACCTGGGCACAATCATATAGCCCCCCAGACACTTTCTTGCCTGCACATATAAGCACAGATTCACACACACTGTGTCCTTACATTTACATGCCCTCATCCGCATGCACCCTTGCTCATATGCTTCCCTACACTACATTCACGTGCAATCCTACATGCATACATTCATATTTTCCCATGCATACACAGCCTTTCTACATGTAAAAACATACTCAAATGCACATGACCAAACACCCTAACAAACATGCCCCTCTATATTTATTGATTATTTTGCCCAACTGAGAGGCCCTAGTTCTGAAAATCTCTGTTCTAGCATGAAATATGCCCTCTGTAAATTGCTTTTATATATGACTCTAAATTCTTAACCCTGAAGAAAGAAGTTGAGGCTAATAAACAAGTCAGAAGGCTGACCTTTGAACTACTTTGAATAAAAAAAAGAAGAAAGACTCCCTCTATTTGCTTCTTGATCGAACTGCAGGTTGGTTCAATCAGTCAATCATAAACATTTATTAAGCATCTATTATGCGTCAGGCACTGTGCTAAGTGCTGGGGATACAAAAAGAGGCAAAAGACAGTACCTACCCTCTGAGTGCTTTCAGTCTATTGGAGGATACCACATGCAAACAAGGTACACAAAGCAACCTACCTACAGGGTAGATAGGGAATAATGAGCTGAGGGAAGGCACTAGAATTAAAAAAGGTGGGGTAAGGCTTCAGGTAGAAGGTGGGATTTTAGTTGGGCCTGAAGTGTTATGGCCAGTGGGCTAGACTTGGGTTTGACGCTAGCCTCAGGCACAGAGTGGCTATTTGACAGGGGTCAATTCCCTTAACCTTTCTAAGCCTCAGCTGTGAAATGTGCCTATTTCTGAGCTGGTTATGAGGATCATAAATATGGTGCTAGAAGGGACAGTAGAGATTAGGTCTAGGTCTTTATTTTACAGATGAGGAAACTGAGGTCAAATGAGATAATGCATACAAAGTGCTTCAAAAACCTTTAAAGCTCAATAGAAGCATCGGCTGTTACTATTATTATCCAGCTGTCTTGCCAAAGAATCCTCTTTTCTCTTCCCCTCCACCTGATTTTTTTCCCCTTCTTCAACATCTTGGCCAATTTTAAGCCTCCATGTTCCCCATGAGTGGGTTGGGAATGGGGTCAACAGATAATGCTTATGACCCTAAAGAGGTAGGGTGATGTAGTGGATAAAATATTGGACTTGGAGCCATCAAGAGTTGGGATAAAATAATACTTCCCTTATTTATTAATTTTGTGACCCTGAGCAAGTCACTTAACTTGTGCCTCAGTTTCCTTATCTCTAAAATGAAAAGCTTGGACTTGATGGACTCTTAGTTCCCTTCCAACTCTAGATCTAGAATCCTTTGACCTTGTCTCCCCACCAAAGATCCAAAGAAAGATCGAGAGAAAAGGTAACTGTGAGAGGTGAATTGTTTTCTATAAATGTAATAAATGATGATGATGATAACTAGCATTTCTATGGCATTTTAAGGATTGCAAAGCACTTTCCATTTGATATTTCGTTTGATCTTCACAACAACCCCATGAGGTAGATGCTATTATTATTACCACTCTCATTTTATAGATGAGAAAAGTGAGTATAAGAGAATTTAAGTGACTTAAGGGTCACAAAGCTGACAAATATCAAAACCAGGATTCTAATCCAGTTTTCCAAATCCAATACTCTCTGTCCCCTGTGCCACACTATCTCAAATGAGTCCAATTAGGGAGCTGGGATAGGGCTTAGAATAACTGACCCATGCAGGTCTAGAAGTCATCACTCTTGGGCCACTGTTTCCTTCATGGACCTGCACCCCAACTATCAGCATTTTCGCTGATGGGTTAAATAATGGGCCAGAAGCCAGAGACCCTGCAGGCCTGGCAGATTCAGTCTCCAAAGGGAATTGTCCATTTTTTAAATGCACCTTGGCACAAGGCCAAGAAGTGACTAATTATGTCCTAAGACCTCATCTTCATAAATTTGGTATCAGATTTGTAAGTTTCATGGACTGGCTCACTTTCATTTGTCTGAGGTTGCCAGGAGATCACCTGTTTTGACAGTATTTGCTGCTGGATGGTGTGGAGGACCAGTAAGCCCCCTGGAGCTCCTGATTAACTTGCACACACCCATGCCCTCCCTTTAGACCCCACATCTACACCTCCTGTGCCCCCACACCTGCACACTCCAAGCCCCCCACAGACAGAAAGGCAGAGAGCACCAAGTGAGGGAAGGTGGGCTGGGGATGGAGGGGCATCATTAGGGGCAGCTGGGCTTGTGTCCCACCCTACCGCTCAGCACAGCTGTCCTGGCAGCGGAAGACTGTCATCTTCTTGTAGTCAAAGAAGGATAGTCCTCGGAGGGCCCGTCTGCTGGGGTTGTCCAAGTAGCAGCCGACGTATTTCGCTGGGGGGAGAAAAAACAGACCCAGCTGAAGATGAAGCTTAGTGGGAAAAGAAAAACTGCCAAGAACAATCCTGGCATTGGTTTCAGGAGTGCCCAAAGAGAGATGGATTTGGATGGAGTAAGTGGACCCAGCTTTGACTCTGATACCTTATACTTGGATGACTTTAGGTATCTTTGGGCAAGTCTCTGACCCTCCCTGGGCCTCAGTTTCCTTGTTGGTAAAATGAAAAAAATTGGAAATGAGGAAATCCACCTCTACATCTAGGCTAGAGAGGACAATGGAAAGAGCATTGATTTTTGAATCAGAGGAAATCAGAAGACTTGGGTTCACTCTACTAATTTCTGTCTGTGTGACCTTGGGCAAATCACTTAATTTTCCTGGGTTCTTCATCTGTCCAATGATAGCGATGAACTATATGGACTCTAAGGACCCTTTGAGATCAAAATTTCTGAATCTTCATTTTTACCTTGATGCCACCTCCTCCATTCAGTGAAGAAACCCAAGAGCAGAAGTAAGAGAGTAGAAGTGGCATCTTGGAGAGTGGTTTGCTCTCTGTAGGTGGGCAGAATGGGCAGTAGTGGGTAGAAAGGAAAGAAGCTTTAGACTTGGGGTCAGAATGAAGTCCTACTTTGGTGTTCAAGCACAGGCTAGATGAACATTTGTCAAGTATGGTGTTTTGGGAATTCCTTTCAGGTATTTTCCCGAAGCACAGCTTTGTCAGTGTCACTCCCCTTCTCAATAAATCCCAGTAGCTTCCTATTATCTGTCAGATCGAACACATAAATTCCTCTGTTTGGCATGTAAAGCCCTTCACAACTTGGCCCCAACCTACCTTTTCAGCCTTTTTATACATTACTCCCCTTCATTTTCTCTATAGTCAAGTCAAACTAGTCTTCTTATGCTTCCTCATACATGGAAGTCCATTTCTAGATCCTATGCCTTTGCCTAGGGAGTTCCCAATGCCTAGAATGCACACATTCCAAGTCTTCTTTAAGACTTGGCTCAAGTTCCAAGCTACGTGAGTCCATTTGAGATCCCCTCAAATGAGGAGTTTTCAACTTGAGGTCCCTGAAGTTGTTTAAAACATATATATGTATATATATATACACATGTATATATATATGTATATATATATACACATGTATATATATATATATGTATATATATACATATATATGTATGTATGTATGTATGTATATATGTATATATGTGTGTATATGTGTATATATGTGTATATATGTATATATGTATATATGTAAAATATTATTTATATATTTTTATACATTATTTATATATTATTTTGAAAGTTTTATATATATAAAACTTTCAAAATAATTAGTTTCCTTTGCAATTGTATGTATTGTGTTTTATGCATTTAAAACCATGATTCTGAGAAGGGGTCTATGGACTTCACCAGATTGCCAAAAAGGGTCTATGATTAAAACAAAGTGATGAATCCTTGCCATAAGTGCTGGAGCCTCTTCCTGTCTTTGACAATCACTCTGTATTGGTTTTCATGCATTGTACATGCATGTTTTCCTTCTGATAGAAGATAAGCTCCTTAAGGGCAGAAACTATTTGATTTTGTCTATGGATTTCCAAAGACTAACATTTAAAGCTCTTCATAAGCCATCTTCTTACAATGGACTCTTCTCCCCATACTCTTTGATCGATCAACACTGACCTAGCTTGAAAAGGCCAAGGTGCCCCACTGCATCCTGGGCCATCTCCAGTCGTCCTGATTGATATCTAGCCGCTGGACCCAGATGGCTCCAGGGGAGAAAGTGAGGCTGGTGACCTTAGACAGCTCTTCCTCACACTTGCCCCTCACGGCAACACCTTCCTAATGTCAAATCCTCTTTGAGATGGAAGGATACACAGCAACTACAAGAATGACCTAACTATTTCTCACACACCACATTCCATTACCTTATCAAGGGCTGTCCCCCATGCCTGGAATGCACGCTCTCTCTCTCCTAACCTCCACTCTTAGCTTCCCTGGTTTCCTTCAAGATGCAGCTCAAATCGTGCCTTCTGCATCCCCAGCTACTTCTACCTCCCCCTTTGAGATTAGTTTCATTATTCTTGGTGGCTTAGTGTACAGACCACCAGGGCTGGACTCAGGAAGACCTGAGTTCCAATCTAGCCTCAGGCACTTCCTAGCTGGGTGACCCTGGGCAAATCACTTCACCCTGTTTGCCTCAGTTTCCTCATCTGTCAAATGAGCTGGAGAAGGAAATGGCCAACCACTCCAGTGTCTTTGCCAAGAAAACCCCAAATGGGATCCTGAAGAGTTGGACGTGGCTGAAAAATGACTGAACTACAACAAAAAATCTTGACATGTTGTCTCCCTTATTGCTTAAGGGCAGGGATTTCATTTTTGCCTTTGTTTGCATCTGCAGTACTTAGTATAAGGGCTAGCACATATTTAGCACTTAGTAAATACTAATTGACTTGACTAATTGATGCTAAATGGCTGCTGAACTCCCTTCAAGTCAAGATTCTGGCCTTGCCACATAGTGCCTGTGTGAGTTCAGGCAGATCCTTTCTTCTGTCTGAGCCTCAGTTTATTTATCCATTTAATGGGCATTGAAAAGCTTGAACTATCAGTTACACTATTCTTGCAAAGAAAGTACTCGATTAACTATGTTACCAGAGATGTGTAAGTTAGCGTAGTGTTTTCATTATCAAACATCAGACAACAAGGACTTATTGAGCACCTCCTGTGTCCAGACCCTGTGATAGGAGTGCAGGTACAAATGCAAAGAAGGAGATAGTCCCTGCCCTCAAGGAGCTTACCTTCTACTGGGGGAGGCAACCTGTATTCATAGAGGTCTATGTAGGCTAATTACAAGGTAGTTAGGAAAGGAGGGGGTCAGCAGGCATGGGGATCAAGGAAGTGTTCATGTAGAAGGTGGCACTGAGCTGCATATTGGAGGAAGAGAAGGATTCTACGAAGTAGAGGCAAGGAGGGAATGCATGGTGGTTGACCAATGCAAAGGCTTGGAGATGGGAAAAGGACTACTGTGCGTGTTGTTGCTCAGCTCTTTCAGCTATGTCCAACTCTTCGTGACCCCATTTGGGGTTTTTGCCAGAGATGCTGGAGTGGCTTATCAGTTCCTTCTCTGGCCCATTTTACAGATGAGGAAACTGAGGCAAACAGGGTTAAGTGACTTGCCCAGGGTCACATAGCTAATAAATGTCTGAGGCCAGATTTGAACTCAGGTCTTCCTGAGCACTCTATTCATTGTACCACGTAGATGCCCCATGAAGGGCAGTCCCTCATTGTGCATGAGGGACAGAGAAAAGGACAGTATGGTTGGATGTATGTAGTACAGGTGTGACCTATAGGCTATTTCAGGAATGACAATGATAGATCTAATTCCCAGCTCAAAAAAAAAAGTTTCAGGATGTTTGCCCAGGGCCCAGACTTAAGTGTATCCACAAAAGAAAAGAAGTAGTCTCAAATGAGTTACAGGCAGTAAAAGAATAATGCCTCCCTCCCCTTCCCCAGGACACATCCCTCCTTACTGCCTTTGTCTACTCCTGGGACACTCTCTACCAATGGCCAAGCAGCTAGCAGCTTCTGCTCACGCATAGCCAGGCCTGCCCCCACCCCAGCACTCTGCAGAATGAAGAGGTCTCTAAGAAGGCTTGCATCTAATCAATCAGTCAAGCAGTAAACATTTATTAAACTCCTACCACATGTCAGGCACTGTGCTAAGAGGGAGGGCTACCTGGAGAGCACTGGCTGGCATGCTGGGCTGAGGAGTCATTTCATTGGACTAAGCCTCAGTTTCCCCGTTTTCAAAATGTACTCACTACCCTCAGGACTATTATGAGGTTCCTGAGAGAGGATGGATTGGAAAATCCTTTACAAATTTTAAAGCATCATGAATGTCAGTTATTCAATGGGGCCATGCTTTGGCTCCCAGAGACGTTTTCTGGACAATGACTGGCACATGACTGCTATCGTTTTTCTCCAAATGTCCTATTACTCTTACTTACATTTATGGACAAACAGAGCCCATCTCCCATCTCCCATCTCTTGGCCTGATTTTATAGTCCTAACTGGGCTTCCTTTCCCCCTCCTCTCTGATCTTCAGGGGAAAGAAGCATCCACACCGTGGGTCTTTGCAGGCTCACAGGTAAAATCCTCACACGGGCTGGTCCCTTCCTTTCATCCCCTGCGTCATGTTCCATTGTCTTTCAGGAATCACTCCAGACAGGACCATCAAACAACGCTTGACTGGCAGCCCTGTTCCTTGCAGGGTGCAAGAGACAGACACATTCTGAAGCTATTAACCCAGCAGATCAAAGAAGTCTGGATTTGAGAGGTTTTCCTGTCTTCCTGGGCTATCATTGTGGCTCTTCTGTGCCAGACCTGCTCTTGTTTGGAACTAACCCTCTGACATCAATTTCTCACCCCTGACCCTTTAAACAGTGGTACGGTTTGCAAGGGTTTATTTAATAATGACATTTTAAAGTATTGAGAACACAGAGAGCATTGGAGTTGTAACAGACAAAAAAGAAATTGTCAGGGCTGGCAGGGGTCTTAGAACAGAAAATGTCAGAGTTAGAACATTGGATGGCAGAGTTGAAGACCCTAAGAACACTTAATGATAGCACTGGAAAGGACCTTAGAACACAGAATTTTGAAGACTCTTATTTCAGATATCTATATGAAAAGTTATAGAGGACCTAGCTTTTCCACATATAATTCCAAAATGATCTTAATAAGTCACTAGATTGAATAATGGCCAAGAAATCCAGCAAGAAACATATAGAAGCTCCTCTTCCAGCCCAGTACATGACAAAAAGACAGCCCAAAGCAATGAGCATTAGACAAAGCATCCTGCCAAGAAAGTCAACTCGAGTTCAGGTAAATTGGCTGGAAGCCCATAGTAGCATGCATATTGAGGAGACTGGGAGAGGGTAAAAGTGGGAAGAGGCTTAAAGCAGCTGGGAAAAGCCCAGGTAGGGGAGGATCCAAGGATAA